AAATCCTACAAGGTAGGCTTCAGCAGTATGAGGACTGAGAACTCCCAGAAGTACAAGCTGGATTTCGAAGGGGCAGAGGAACTAGAGTCCAAATTGTTAACATGCGCTGGATTATGGATAAAGCCAGAGAATTCCAGAAAAACATCTACTTCTGCTTCATTGACTATGCAAAAGCCTTTGACTGTGTGGACCACAGCAAACTATGGCAAGTCCCTAAAGAAATGGGAATGCCTGGTCACTTTATCTATCTCCTGAGAAACCTATACGTGGGACAGGAAGCAACAGTTAGAACTGGATATGGAACAACTGATTGGTTCAAAATTGGGAAAGGAGTACGACAAGGCTGTATATTGTCCCCCTGCTTATTCAACTTATATGCAGAATACATCACGTGAAAGTCCAGACTGGAGGAAGCCCAAGACTGACCTCTGAAGAATTGATGCTTTTGAATTGTGGTGCTGGAGGAGGCTCTTGAGAGTCCCCTGGACTGCAAGGAGAACAAACCTATCAATTCTAAAGGAAATCAACTCTGAGTGCTCACTGGAAGGACAGAGGAGAAGGGGATGACAGAGGATGAGATGGTTGGACAGTGTCATCGAAGCTACCAACTCCAGGAGGCAGTGGAAGACAGGAGGGCCTGGCATCCTCTGGTCCATGGGGTCACGAAGAGTTGGACATGACTAAACGACTAAACAACAACACCAAACTAAACACTTATGCAAATCCCACTGAGTCAACAGATCTACTCTATTTGGAACCAGCAATAAGATACTGACCAAACAGGTTTAGCTTACGTAATTTAAACAAATCACAGGAGTGCATTCTTCTAAGTGTAGAATGTCAACTCTTGAGCTATTTTGGTAAACAAGGAGTGAAATAAAATTTGACAGAAGCAATCTATTATTATTCTACAGAACTACTGCCAACTAACATTTTTGTTGATTTATGAAAAGGTTAATAGGCAAGACTATATGAATTTCACACTCCCCTATGTTCATTGAGCAAGCACAGCTGCAGTGTTTATCAGAGTATCTGGAAAATATCAGGACCACATTCTTTGTCATAATAAAAGGAATGATGAAGAATGGTTCTTCCCGAAAAGAGAGCTTCCAAAAGCCTAATTCTATGGCCCTTTCCTATATATAAGTCCTGAAAGAACTGCAGGGAGCTGAAGATCTGTCTGCGCCTCCCTCTTCCCCTCAATCCTTTTTTAGGTAACAGAAGGGGTTGGATGCAAACTAAGGGGGAACAAACATAGGAACATATTAAACTGCTTTATATAATGACCCAAGTTCAACTGCTAGTCCCAGGCAGAGTAGACTGTAGAATCATCTGCTGAACAATGGGTGTAATTTTTATTAATTTAATGGATCTACTCAAATTGAGATTACCCATGGATTTCTATCTAGTGAATCAGACTGTCAGTCATGTAGCCGAACTATGTCTACTCAAATTGGATGAGTTAAGATTTCCTTCTCACAAAGCATTTGCTCCATGGCCTCTCCTAATAATGCTCTGATACTCTGCCTGCTCACACACAAAGAAAACAACTGGGAAAAGAAGGGGAATGAAACAAAGAAACAAGGATCTACTGGACTTCACAGTGAATCAATCCACTCATGAGTGCTCCACCAACGGTGGAAAGGTCTGCTTGCTTACAATTTTATAAATGTAATAAATTTACTGAAACATTTCTTGTCCTTGAACAAGACAGTCTCTCCTCATCATACTTTAAGATACACAGAATCTTAGTTAAAGCACATAACTGATTCAGTTTATTATTGTATAGTGACAAATTAGTTTGTTTGATTAGTTAAATGCTCTCCCTGTAATTATCTTCTCTTGTTGTACCATACCAATCACTACTGAAATGGAATTGTTCCAAACATCTGTAAGCCACTTTGGAAGGTTGTACATGAAAGGTGCATGTAAATGATTAAAAGGAGGGGAGGCATTAAGAGCAGAATCTGCTATGCTTTTTCTGTAGCAAGGTAGATCCCAAAATACATACCTTAACAATCTACAAAAACTTCTTCTGTAGCTGAGTCTCTGACTAGCTGCAGCCACACTGGGTGGAAATGGAGGACGTGATGGGAAGTAAGCAAGGGCTGCAGAGAATATCAGAGCCACAATGCCAAATTCTAAGGGAAAAAAATTAAAAAAGGAAGTAAAGAAGAAATATAACATGGTAAATAATGTGTACATTCATTAGGTATCATGTTTGCATCACAAGAAAACTGTTCTTCAACTATCTGAAAAGTTTATTTGGACGCATTATGAATAGCGCAGAAAACAACTGTGAAGTATCTAAATAGCTTGCTAAGTTTGTAGAACAAGCAAACACGTTCAATATTGCTTGTTAAATAGAAAGAGTCAAGCAAAGACACTCTGGCAGCCCTCTCCAGCTGGACTTTCTTTTCTCCCTGCCAAAAGACCATCCGACAAACAACTGTCCTATGGATGGATTCTGTGAGAAAGGGAGGAAACTTTTCTCCCTGCCAAAATTAGTTTATAAAAATGTTTTGATTAAAAATTATGTCATCTAGTTTGTTGATGAGATCCACATGCTTGCATTACTGCCCTTCTCTGTATTTCTATTTGCTGTTTAACACATTCCTGTACTTTGTGCTATATTAATGGCACTGACCTCCTATCATTTTTGGAGGTCTACCTTCCTCTCAATTCACACAGTGTAGTCTGTCAACAAACATTAATAAGAAAGCTCCTTTCAAAAGAATGTGATGCTCCCAGTACTATTACAAATACAGAAAGGTACAGTATTTGTAATAGTACTGGCTCGGTGGGAGGAGTGTATGTCACATGCTTCTGTGAGTGGCTGTTTGAGATCAGTTCTGGTGGCACTAGAGAAGTAAAATATATCCACGTAATGGACATCTCATTCATGTAGACCTGCTCAGTGATAAGTGTGCGTACACATGCAGTGAGTGGCTGTTTGAGATCAGTTCTGGTGCCACTAGAGAAGTAAAGTATATCCACGTAATAGACATCTCATTCATGTAGACCTGCTCACTGATAAGTGTGCGCACACATGCACACAATTTCAAAGTGCTAATTTTAACCTATAAAGCTCTAAATGCCTGGGGCCCAAGTATCTCAAAAACCACATCTCGTTTTCTGCCCGTGTGTTGAGATAAGTATCTCAAAAACCACATCTCGTTTTCTGAGACTGCCCGTGTGTTGAGATCATCACGGGAGGCCTTTCTCTTGGTCCCATCACTTCACAGGTGTGTTTGGTGGGGATATAGGAAAGGACCTTCTCTTTGCTGCTCCCAGACTCTGGAACAAGCTGGCCTCATCTTTGCCATACTTCCACAAGCAGACAAAGACCTTCCTCTTCAGGAAATCTTTTCTTTAGTGGCTGCACGGCTGAGTGGTTTTTTAAAAAATGGATTGCTGTGCCTTGTTGTGTTTAAATGTATTTTTAGTATTCATTTTTAAAAACCATTTTAATAAAAAATTTCGTTAATTCTTTTAAAACATTTGTAGACTTACTGTTCTTCGCTTTTAAATATGATCTGTAAATGATGTAAGCCGCCTTAGATCCTTTTAAAGGCAAAAGACGGGATAAATAAAATAAATAATGTGTTCTCAATATTCAATTTGGAACACAGATGTTGTGTTAAGTGCAAAAAATATTTAGAAGAAAAATAAGTTTATTTTAAAAACAAGACAGAGCAATAATATCTGTACATGCTCACTGTGCACAGAATCGGGGAGTGCAGACTGGATGCAGTATCGCTGAAGAGGGCTTGGTCAATTGAGTGGCACATGGCACTTCATACTGAAACATTTTTTGCAAGTTTCACTTATTCTCCCTATTTTACTTTGCCAAGTGTATAGACATGTGAATTAGGATAAAGAAGAATACAGGTAAGTGCATTTAATATCGCTAACTAAAAAAAATTCTTTTATTTTGTTTCAATGTCATTATCTACTGTGTACATACAGACTCAGATGAAACAAAAATCTACGTTAAAACATTATTCTTCCAGTTACTTATAACCAATTTACAATGGAAAGTAAATGATGCATAAAAATTGAGCTGATATAGAAATACTAAAAGAGGGCTGTAGACCGACTTGTATTTTAATAAACCAGCAGTCTACTAAAAAAAAATCTTTAAAAAGAAATTGTGCACACAAGAAAATACAGAACACACACCACTTTTGGAATGAGCTCTGTTTAATTTAAGGTACAGAATGGACAGGGGGACCACATTCAATTGGTGAAATAAAGGATAAGTAATTCTAAAACAGAAGGCAGAACAAAAAGTGGAATGACTTTGTGAAGGAAGCCACGGTCTTTAGTTTGCAAAACCTGAGGAGGGCTATCAGTGCTAGGACATTTGGAAGTCATTAATCCATAGGGTTGCCATTAGCTGGAAGGAACTTGATAGCACATAACCACAACAATCCTAAACCTCATACTAACAGATTTATTTCTAGATGGCTCACTAGAGGGCAGCAGCAAACTCGTAACATGCACATTATGCATTTAAGAGCACAATTATTTCTGTAATACCTGCATATAGCACAGCCTCAATGCGGTCTTTTATAACCTCAGGGCTGCTTCCAGGTGGAAGTGGAGCTGTCGATGTGCCATTTGGCCCTGGCACCACCAACGGTCCTACTAAAAATGCACACGCTCCACCAAGGTAACCAATCAGCGACGCAATAGCTGTGGCAGTGGCACGCTCATCTGGAGAAAACCATGTTGTGGAAAGGAATGGAGCAGCGCTAGTTACAGTTGGGCCTGCCAGTCCATTCAGCAGCTGCCCTCCATGAATCAACCTGGAGAAAAAGCAGAAAACAGGCAATTACTTGACAGGTAAGCAACTGCTATTAGTATGCCAAGAATCTTGGGGAAGACAGAGAGTGATCAGTTTCTCCTTCCATGCTGGTAGATCTGCACCAAGAGATCATCTGCTTCTTTTGAGTATCTCCAAAATGTGGCATGAATGCAGGAGCTAACTTTTCCCCCTCTCCTAAACCCTTTTTGCTGTTCAAAGGACTCAGAAATGGAGGAGTCAATGGTAACAAACATGAACCGATGGCTACTAAGATCAGTCCACTTTTGTGGACCTCGGTAAAAACTAATTTCAGATTTTTTTTCCACTTTGATTATCTAACACATAAAAACATGTCTGAATACAAAAAAAATTATTTGAAAGGGTCTAAGCCTGTTGGCTGGATGGTATTTAAAATACCTTAAATTAATTGCCTCAGGTAATTTTATTCTGAATAATCCCTTTGAAACAAAATGAACTTTCTCAAGCAGTTAAAAGAAAAATAATAAATCAGTGAATGTTTTGCTTTTTTCTTTCTAAAATGCAACTTGGAAACCCATTTTATTTAGTAAACTTCATGAATCCTGTTCTATCTGTAGGTATTGTATGACAATAGTACTTCCAAACAAATTGAGCAGCTTTGGTATAAAGACAAAATACTCTTTAGCAAGATTGAAGTTTCCACTAGCTATGAATTCTATATTTAACTGTTTATAATGATTTATGGCTGCACCATTGCTATTTCAATATTTGGAGTGGAGAAAAATGACAAAAGCCAACCTTCTGTTGACAAATGTTGTAAATAAACGTAATGTAACAAAGAGTTTCAAAACAATGTTTTTAAAAAGCACAGAGAAAGGGAGAACTAGTGTCATATTATGACATGTGCTGAGGGGGTTTATATATAATACAGTGGTGTCTCGACTTACGAATGTCCCCACATACAACCATTTCGAGTTACGACCAGCTCCGGCTGCAAAATTTTGCTTCTACTTGTGTCTGGAGCTTCGAATCACAACAGGGAAAAAGGCAAAGAATTCAAATGTACTAACCATTGGTTGGGGAAGTGGCTGCTTCTTTGTAGCTCTTTCGCCCCAACGGTTAGTGTGTGTGTGTCGGAGGAGGCCTGGGGACTGCCTGGTGCTGCTTTCTGCTCGTGAGTAAGTACATTTACAAGGTTTTGCAGGGTGGGTTTGGGCTGGGGGGGGTTATGTTTCTGTGATGTGATATTTTTTGTGTGTGTGTTTGGTGTTTTGTTTTGTTGTGGGGTTGGTTTTTGTTTTTTTGTTTTTTTGCCCCAGCACCTTCCGATGGGGGTTGCTGTGTTGTTGTTTTTTGTGATTTTTTTTCCAGCCCCAGCGCGTTGGGGCTTGCAGTGTTTTTTTTTGGGGGGGTGATTTTTTTTCCAGGCCCTGATGTGTTCCGATGGGGCTTGCTGTGTGTTGTAATTTTTTTTCCAGCCAGAACGGTTTAATCGTGTTCCAATGCATTCCTATGGGAAATGGTTCTTCAACTTATGACCATTTCGAGTTACAACAACCATTCCGGAGCGGATTAAGATCGTAAGTTGAGGCACCACTATATGTTTTGTTCTCTTACAAGCTAACAAGGTTAATTAGATTCCCCACTGTGCTTCCTCTGAGTAGAGCCAGCCTGTGTAGCCTTGGGCAAGCTGTACAGTCCCAGGATGCCCCCAGAAGAAGGGAATGAGAACCTTCCATTTGGAAATCCCTGAAAAGAGTTGCCATAAGTCAGAGAAGAAGGGAATGGTAAGCCAGTTCTGAGAACCCTCCATCTGGAAATCCCTGAAAAGAGTTGCCATGTCAGAATTGACTTGAAGCCACGTGATTATTATTAATATGCATTTTAGTCAGCTAAATATCACAGTGAGATGTAGTGAAGGCAGGGATCAGGAGTTCCATTTCCCACTGTGGCTCAAGATGAGCAGTTTTGGGCAAGTTTGCACTGTCCCAGAGCACTCTTGGAAAGAACTATAAACCACTTTTGAATATATCTAGAAAACCCTGAAAACAGTTGTAAATTTGGAATTGCCTTGGTAGCACTTAATGATTAATTAAATATTATGTATTTTGTATAAATGATACCAGCAAGGATTTTTGATTGAAAGGCAGGACCTGTCAATAGAAAATCCACAATGTGAATACATTTAATGTGTTCTAGTCTACTCTATTTAAAGTAAATATGCAGTGTCCTATATACACAGCACAAGTGTTATTCTCCCAAACAACTTATACATAAATGTATTATCATCCTTCCAGTTCAACTCCACTTCACCATGATCCTTCTTTTACACATCAACTCCATTCTGCCACACAAAGCTGCCCTCAAAGACTTCCCCCTGCCCCATTTCACTTATGTGAACAATACTCCTTTTCAGAAATTGTTCACATTGTCTTGACTTTCTGTTCTCCAAATCCTCCATAATTCATCAGTTGTGGAGCTGGATCTAAGCAAAATGGGTGGGCTGCCTCTCTCCCCTTCTCTGGAGTGGCCTCAGCAATGGCAGCTAGTAACAAGAGGGAGGAAGGGTCCAGTAAAACCACCTCCAGACACAAGGAATGACTGCTACCGGTTAGATCCTCTCTGGAAGCAGAAGGCGGCCAGACAATTTCTACACCACTGGTATTGCTGAAACAACATTCCAGTGTAATCGATGTTAAGCAGCCACATGGACTTCCTGGAGCAGAATGCAAATCAACTCCTAAACAGTTATTAAGTATTTACAGTGTTGTTGCAGAGGTTGATATTTTGGTTTGCTTCCAACATACTCAATGGAGCAGAATGCAAATCAACTCCTAAACAGCTTACAAATGATTAAGTATTTACAGTGCTGTTGCAGAGGTTGATATTTTGGTTTGCTTCCAACATACTCAATTATCTAATGCAATTGCCCAGGATGCTTAACAATGTACATTACCTGCTCTATAAATGAATGGCGTATCTCCAGGTGGATATAGTGGCATTCCACTGTACAACTGACTGCATTTCAGTGATGATATAGAGCAGTGGTTCTCAAACTTGGGTCTCCAGATGTTCTTGAACTGCAACTCCCAGAAATCCTGCCCAGCACAGCAAGTGGTGAAGGCTTCTGGGAATTGCAGTCCATGAACACTTGGGGACCCTAGTTTGAGAACCGCTGATTTAGAGAAGCAAAACTTGAATTAGCAAAATCACTTTGGTCTGAAGCCTGCAACTGACCTGTAATTGTATGCTAGGGAAAATAGTTACAAGTTGGGTGGACGGGACAAGTCTCTGATAGTGTCACACACAATTTCTTTGTTTATATATATGAAGTTGTTGCTGTTGTTGTTGCTATGTGCCATCAAGTCACTTCTGACTTATGGTGACCCTATGAATGAGTTATTTCCAAAGTGATCTGTCCTCAGCTGCACTGCTCAGCCCTTACAGACTCATGTCTGTGGCTTCCTTTAAGGAGTTTGTCCAGCTCATATTTGTGTCTTCTTTTCTCGATGCCTTCCATCCTGAGGCAGATTTCTTTTAAATCACAATTTAAATCACTAGTCAGTAAGCATTTTTTTAAAACAAAAAATGTGAATATTTAATTTTTTTATTGATCTGTCCTCAGCTGCACTGCTCAGCCCTTACAGACTCATGTCTGTGGCTTCCTTTAAGGAGTTTGTCCAGCTCATATTTGTGTCTTCTTTTCTCGATGCCTTCCATCCTGAGGCAGATTTCTTTTAAATCACAATTTAAATCACTAGTCAGTAAGCATTTTTTTAAAACAAAAAATGTGAATATTTAATTTTTTTATTTTTCTAATAATTTAAATCACTAGTCAGTAAGCATTTTTAAAACAAAAAATGTGAATATTATTTTTTTTAGTTTTCTAATTTAAATCGGATTTTTAAAATAAAAGGTTTAATGATTAGTGATTTAAATTGTGATTTAAACTGATTTTATTTAAATCAAATCCACCCTGCATATTTCCCAGCACTATTGTCTTTCCCAGAGAAAATAACACTACAAAGCAGTGTTACTGTTTTATTCATGCCGTAAATTTAATTTTCACTGACACTGTGTAATAAATAAAAGGAAAGAAAAGGTGATATCAAGGCCAAACAGTGAATTGCAAAGTTTCAAAGCCTTCCACTGAACACTGCAATCAGTAAAGACAACGAGAACTGCAAATGGAAGAACTCTAATAGTCACTGTTTATTATGCAGTGAAAAATAATAAGGTATGGAACTAAATATCTGAGCAAAGAGAAAAGACAGACATCTTGAAAAGGAATAAGGACACCTCTGTAACAAGCCACTCCTCCTCTCTGCAAATTGGCAGCAGAATAAAAATAGAGAAAAAAGAGATAAAGTTGATCCCACTACCAACTGGGCTATGGCTCGAAGCTCCTAATTAACAAGACCAGGTGGTCCCCAACAAGCATTTTCTTGACAATACTTCAGACAGTACCTCTCCTACAAAAACACTCACTTCATGTTCCTTTTTTCCTCCACGGTCAAAGGTGCTTTGTTGCCAAAGTAGAACATCAAGTTCTTCTGCATCTTTTCTTCTCTCCGTATGTTCCGGTGGCAGTTCCATAAACCAGATACGGTGTCTAAAACTTAGGACCTCCACATTTAATTCCCTTGCCACACATATTTATATCAGTTCACTGAACCAAACCAGTGGCCTTCTTTACATTCTTTAATGACTTTGTGACTGAATGCTCGCTAGATTGGCTTCAAAATGTAACAACCTCATTGAATGCACAAATTAAACTATTACAATATTGAAATATGTGGATCTACCAACTCACTACACAAGCACCCATATGAATAAAAATGGGTATTCTAGTCTACTACTGTATATTGATGGGAGTAAGAAAGTAAGGTATTGTAGCAGTTTTGGTCAGAAAAACACAGAGGAATTTAAAAGGGCACTTCAAACTCAGTAACAAAGATAATCTCAAGTAATTACTTTGAAATAGTTTGCCATTTTGCTAGACATATTCCTGGGGGTTTCTTT